TATATCCTAGTACCAACAATCCCCATACTACGCAAATACTGGAATTACGACATCAAATGTCGACAATTGTAGCATTTCACCAGGAAATATTCTAAGGTATCATATTTATTTAATCCCAAGGGAAGATATGATAAGGGAGAACTATGCTAATCATTTATATATTACTTGTATATATCAAGGTCTATGTAGGGGTTAAGTAGTTCAAAGGGTAGGATAAAGGTGACACACGGAAGAAAGAACTAAGATATTCTCACTAAAATATAACCTAGGCTAACTGGGGATATGAAAAGAAAAGAATCAATCCTATACTTCTAGTATGCAAACATCCTTAGTTTACACTCGCTGGTATACAATCATGGAACCAATACCCCCTAACAGTGCTCTCCTGGTGTTTCGAGAGATCACCCTTGATTGCGGAGTTCCATATGACAACCTGTCATGGCCATCCAACCGGGGCTAAATACGGAGGAGTACCCTCCCTAGGAATGTGCCTTAGGAATATATACTAACATGGAGGAATACCCGTACCGAGCTATCGCCATCAGCGGCCCATCTCTATTGTCTGCAGCATATATGCCCAGATAATAATACTTAATAATCCAAGCACCATGCTTAGATTACTAAATACTACTCTACATCCATGAATCCGACATAGAGCAACCGAGTTCTCGGACATTAAACCCTCACCAATGCACCTCTCTGATAAGTTAGTTACACAACTATATCGACAGAAGTATAAAATAAAGTCGGTACTCAGATAATATAAAGGGAATAAAATACCGAAGATGTATAAAGAAAAATATTCTATTAATTAAATAAGTCTTAGAAAAAAAGAGAGGAAAGTTACTAGAGCCATACCCGAAATCTCTTGAAGACTCGAGGACTAAGAAAACTATTATATTTCCTACTCCACTAGCAGTAGAGCTCTACTAAACTTGAGTGAGCTCTTTGATCTTCTTCTTGAGTGTGTGTTGTGAAGCGAGAATGAGAGCTTCTTAAATAGGCAGGTATGACGGTTGTAGAGCATGCGAATTGTCAGAAATGTCGCGCAACTGCCATAGGACGTCATCCGGAGCGTCCACGCCAAACCCCAGCCTGAACGGCTAAGACGGGGGTTCAACCGAACCATGGGCTGGCCCAATCGGCCAAAATTTTGCTCCTTACTTCAGTGACGTGGTGTCTTGGGATTTTTGAGATTGTTTCACTGGATTTGTAAGCCCATTTACCTATAAGTCTAACTCTCGACGATGTTTGATTGATTATTCAATTATTTTCCATTGATTCTCCTACATTTTATGTAGAAGTGAAATGGATATTATTTGCTTGCAGAGCAATGGCAAGCAGAGTGCAAGCAAATAATATCCAAGTACAAGTGGAAATAGATTATTCTAAAGCGAATATGCATTGCAAGCATAGCTAGTTCTCCTTTATTTTAGTTATATTGACGGTAGAAATTGGCCTATAACGACTGTCAAAAGTTATACAACATACCCATTGCATAGACCCAACCAAACCACCTGAACTAAACTAGTTTGTCAAGTCAAATTATTATGGTGAGGCAAATCACGGTGAATCTGGTTGACCTCCCATAACCGAGGGCACGGCTATTTGAATAGTTTTACTCTGATCAGAGGTGTACAACTGTACTCACAAGACACAATCTCACAACACGTTACCGTGTTCCGACATGCCACCACGACATACCGGATTGTGACTATGACAGGACCCTTCGCACACCCCCCTAACCAATCGAATCACACCGTAGGTTTCGCCCCCACTCCTCAACAGGCAGTGGGCAGCACCCTCTCGTGCCTAGGTAAATCCGAAAGCAGCTTAGACCATCGCAGGGCCCATCCATACTCCATCACGCCCACCCTTGCCCGGGTACGTCGACTAGGTCAAACCACACTGCAAGTCCAGCCGTTGCCCACGCTAACTTGTAGTAAGTATGGGTAATTCTTCCAGTGTTTCCCATGAACCGGTACTTTATCGTCATGAGCACGAGTGCACGACCATCAAGACCATGTGCTCACAACCGACCATTATCAAATTTCAGTTGACAAATTATTTAATTAACCAAACACGATTGGCCATCGTGAGCTACCATTAAATGTCCATCATTAAGTAATAGTGAAGCATTAAATATCCCAATAGTGTGCTAATGTTTCTAATCATGACTAAGCAATTATATCTAATATCTAGCTGAACCAATATATAAGGCCTAAGCTAGTCAAATTATAACCCATAGGAAAATATAGGAAAAAGACTCACACCACCCAATAACATTCGAAAATAAATGCACATTTGAAATAAATAGAGAATTTAAATATAGGATCAACATGCTCAAAGGATTGTGGTTGGGATATATGTGACTTGCCTTGCAAACAAGCATCTTCAATTCGTCTTTAGGAACTTCCCACGAACGAGCAATCCTTCAAAACGACTACAAACTAAACCTAGAACACAAAATGAGGAAGAACACTAATAAAACCAAATAAACAGTATAATTAAAAGTAGAGATGAATTTAGATGAATTATGATACTTGAACGACCTCATTCCGAGTTCATATGAATTAGTTATGAATTAATGAAGTTTTAATCAATTAAAACCTATAAAGAAAACAACCTAAATGATTTATGGCATCATATAGAATTATTTTTGTACTGATAAAGGAGGAATATGACATCAGCGAGGAGTGAGAATGGACTGATGTTGCTGACAAGCGGGACCCGCATGTCATAGAGACAAGCGGTAGACCGGGTCTAATACGAACTCGGTTCACAGAGAGGTCCACGGGTCCACGGGATGGATGGCTAGGATTTCATTGATCAGACTTTGATCATGATCCGACGGATGAGATCGATCCGATCTAGGGTTTTGAGGTGGACGCCACGCGAGACAGGCGATGAAGTGGCTCTGACGTGGCATGCCACGCGGGATGGACGCCGGCGGCTCTAGATGTTGGCGACAGCTGCGACTTCAGCGCGGCGGCAGACACAGAGGGCACGGCGAGGAAGAGGAGACCGAGGTAAACCTTACCAGCACTTACGCGACATTGAACGGAGAAGTACGGCGACTGGCGACGAGCTTCGAGCGGCAGTGAGATCGAGATGATGGTGGCGGCGCCACCCCAGTGAACACCGGCAGAAGAGAAGGGGTGGACGGCCTTCCCAAGGTCCTTGCGAAACCAACGGAGGAGACAGCAAGGTCCGGCGATGACGGGTGGTGAAGCGGCAAGGCTTCGCCGGAGATCAAAACAAGGCGGCGAGCTCGGCCTTCATGGTGAGGGTGGCTTGCGGGGTTCGGCGCAGGGGAGCGAATGTCAGGGGTGGAGCTTGGCCTTGCGGAGCCGAGGGAGGTGGCGGCGCAGGTTGGTGACGGCCGAGGCGACGGCGAACGACGGCTGGAGTTGGTGGCGGCGACGGAGAGAGACGGAGCTCGCTTGGAGAGGTGGCTAAGGCATGGGAGGCTCGGGTAAAAGAGGGAAAAGGGAGAGGAGGTCCGGGGCTAGCAATTTATAGCCTCAGGAAGAAAAGATCGGATCGGGTTTGAGAGGAATCAATGATGGAAAAGCTATGGTTCACCGGATAAACGATGCTCGAAATCGTGTAGAATCCACGCAATTTTATTCGGGAATCAAGGTGGTTTCTTGGGGATAAGGTACAGCAGATCAAGACGATTCCATTCTCGCAACCAACTTGTGAAAAAGAGTAATGGGGAGGCTGGATTTGACGGAGGACGCGGCGTCGGCTAGAGTACACGGGCACTGCACGGGCTCTGTCCAAGCTGGAAAACGACACTGTAGCAGGAGGGAATGAGTTTAAACTTTTCTTTCTTTCTTGGACCGGATGAAAGAGGGAGGCCAATTGGACTTTGGCCGAGAGATGGAGAGGGCTGCAGGCTCGGATTGGGCCGGCGGGAGAGAGAGGAAGGAGAAGAGGATTTTCTTTACTTTTTAATTTATAAGTAAATGCTGAAATGATTTTTTATTCCGGGAAAAATCCAGAAAATACTTGGAAACTCATAGTATTTATAAGAATTTTATCTAGCCCAATTTGATGCTCAAATATTTCATAGATTTTATTCAAACACTTACTTTAATTATTACATAATTTGTAAAATTTCCTTTCTCACAACAATTTATAATTTAGCAATTTTTAGGGTGTGACATGCACCTCCTATGTCTATTACTCTTTGCCTGGTGATCTCCCCCTCTCCCTGCGATCATCTCACTCAACCATACTTCAGTGATTGAACCTAGGATTATAAACTCTAACTCCAACTCGAACCCAGGATTCTAAACTCTAACTCCAACTCTTTGTAGGGGTCATTGGAGCAGGAGAAGAAGATGTCACTGGAGCTAGAGAAGAACGAATCGCGAAGCAAATCCTAAAGTTCTAAGGGTGTGTTTAGTTCACGCTAAAATTAGAAGTTTAATTGAAATTGAAACAATGTGACGGAAAAGTTGAAAGTTATGTGTGTAGAAAAGTTTTGATGTAATAGAAAAGTTGGAAGTCTGAAGAAAAAGTTAGAAAATAAACCAGGCCTAAATCCTCTCGTGTTTCTCTTGTGGAACCAAGTACTACCTCCGTCTCAATTTAAGTGCATTGCTAAGTTTCCGCGTCCAATGTTTGATCGTCTGTCTTATTTGAAAATTTTATAAAAAAATTAAAAATAATTAGTCACACATAAAATACTATTTATATTTTATCATCTAACAACAATAAAAATACTAATCATAAAAATTTTTCAAATAAAACGGACGGTCAAACGTTGAACATGAACAGTACAAAACTACACTCTCTCTTTTTTAGGATGGGTAGCAACATATACTCCACGTCGCATTCAACCGTATTTAATTCACAAACGGATGGGCAGTAGTTGTTGTTGTCATGAATACTCGGAGAAAACAAGCCATCACAATCACGAATTGAAGAAAGTCCTTCATTTCACATCAACTTCTTGCTAATACCTTAGCTCTTAAGCAACGCGGTCCTTTAAAAGACTTTGGCCATCTATCCAGGAATCATCAACACAAATAATACAAGCAATCATCAGAAGATATCTGCATAAAAATGGTGGCACTAGACTTGAGAAATCCTCCCTCCGCCGCCACGACCGTCAAGGAGGACCAGCAGTTCACCATCTTCATCGACGGCGTGGAGACAGCCCTCCACGAGGGTGTGATCCAGTGGAACGGCGGCACGGTCACTTTGGTCAGCACGGGTGTCCTCGCGGTCGACCGTCTCCAGCACGTCCTGGTGCGCGGCGGGGGCAGTGGTGACGTGAGCTTCACCCGGTGCGGCTTCGCGGCCGCGGAGGCCTGCGGGGTCGCGTCGTTCCATCGGTGCGACGCCGTGCGGGCGGACGGGGCGCGGGAGGTGGCCGTGCGCCGATGCAGGTCCGCGGACGTGGAGCGCGCCGGCGTGGTGGCCATCCGCCGGTGCAAGGGCGCCGCGCGCGTGCGCGGCGCGGGGGAACTTCACGTCGGGCGGTGCCACGAGGCCAACGTGGGCGGGTGCGCGGACGTCGCGGTAGGCCGGTGTCGCGCCGCGCGCGCCGACTGGTGCGGCGCGATCGGCATCGAGCGGTGCGGGTCGGCGGACGTGAGTCGGTGCGGCGCCGTCCGCGTGGATCGATGCCGCGCCGCGTCCGTGTCGGGCTGCGGCAGCGTAGCGGTGCGCCGTGGCAAGGTGAACGTGATCGAACAGCCGCCGGTTTGTCAAGAGAAGCCGATGTACCACCTCGTCCACGCTGAGCCAGTCTACGCGATCCCTTTGGAAATATCGAGCGAGATTAAATTGCAGTAGACCGGGCAGTGCCAGCGGGCTAAAGGTCTGATATGCTGATGATATATATGCGTGTCGGTGTGATAAGTATACGTAATATACTATTGTAATATAATGTGTGGTTTGTACGGAGTATATATGCACAAGGATTATACTTTTAAATAAAGGGACAACGTTGACAAATGTAAGGGTGGATTGAAAAATGAACGAATCGAAAAGACCAAGACCACCGAAACTGAAAAGACAAGATCGATAAATTTGGTCGGGCATTTTGTTCGTCAATTCGGTTAGTCTTCTCGGTTAACCGAAAAGATCTAATTAAAAAAAATTCAAATGCAACCAACAATCCACTAAGTTTAATAGAATTAAAACCTAATATTCACATCCTACTCCTTTTAGCCATAAAACCCAATAAAAGTCTTTACTAAGACGTGCTTGCGAATTCTTTTTGTGTGATTTTTGTGTTAAAATTTTTTTATGATTTCTTTGCATATACTACCTCCGTTTTTTATAATATGGCACCGCTAACTTTTTGTTAAACGTTTAACTATTCGTCTTATTCAATTTTTTTTGCGCAAATATAAAAAATTTGAAGTCATGCTTAAAACAACATTTGATGATAAAATAAATATAATGAATGGTTAAATGTATTTTGAAAAGTCAATGGCGTCATATAGTAAAAAACGGATGTAGTGTTTAACTTTTTGTTTAATCTCGGTTTGGACCGAGACCGAATTTACCGATCCTGATATTTTTCAATTAAAATTCGGTCCTCACTTTTTAATGACTGAACTGAGAGGAAGACTGAAGACCAGGACCAAAATTTTCAGTCTGACCGAATGCCCATCCATAGACAAATAGAATACAGATAAAAAAAAACAAAGTCATCTATTAACTTTGAGTTCTTCTGTCAATTTGCATACGTAACATTTGCTGCAACTCTTTTACAACAATGGTCAAAATTAATTTCGCTCACTAAAAGAATCGCAAAAGAAATGTGATGAGGACTGAAGTCCCGATCGTCCATTATGTACTGATAAGTCCATTGTGGAGACTGAACCAAGATGACCGAACCACTCACAATCACAACCCCACCCCTTCGTTGGTTATCAACTGTGCCAAAGCGCGGTCGACCTCACCGATAAAGCTATCTCCTACAAATGAATCGAGAACAAAAACAAGAGAGAAGAAGAAATAATATAAATATATTGCATATATACAATGAAGCTCACAAATTGGGGTTCCACAAACCGAACTAAGCGGCGAAACTGCAACAGCAGAATAATCTAAGCAAAACCGCACTCTAAATAATGATAGTTATTGAATAAATATGATTAGGGTTAGCTGTAGGGCATCCACCCCTCGTGCTTAAGATGTGACCATGGATGCTATTGAGACAACCGCTGCTCACATCAAGAACAAATTAAACAAGTTCTGGAATCCAATTCAACTGCCTGCAACAATGTTGATTTCAAACGACTGCCAGATGTGCATACGACCTTCGTTTTGGGTCCATTAGTACTTAGTGGAAAGCTTTCGGAGTCCGCTTTCCAACGGATTCAGCCTCATCTTTGAATTCCGTCTCGTTTGGCCGGAATCATAGGAACAAGGTGACGCATCACCTATAATAGGCCTATGGGTTTGTAACTTTGTCTGGGACCCCGGCCCAAGTAGGGCCCATGTGGGGTGCACCCCAACCAGGTGGAGCACAACCCTAGGGACACCAAGGTCGTCCTTCCACCTTCTTGAATAACTAGGTACCCGTTAAGGTTTTCTTGGGTTTTGTTTAGATTGAAGTTTAGCCATTGCTACTTGCTTGTAGCGCGCGTACTAAACTGTCTGTCTGCATGTCTTTGGAACCCAACTTATCTTGTGTATTCAATTCCTATTTGCAATATCGGATTACTTTGATCTTGTTCTTACTTGTTTCTCGATTTGCTTGCAATAATAAGGTTGACCTACACTGGTGTCGACGTTTGATATCGCGACTACGTATTTAGATGGTATGGGGATTGTTGGTACCAGGCTATATGCGAGATTGAGGTAAAAGAGATGGAGACAGGGATTTTTATACAGGTTCGAGCCTCTTATCTTACAGGTAATAGCCCTACATCCTGTTGGCCGAAGCCGATGTTGCTCTTTATTCATCTGGATCACACAAATACAATATTTGGGATAACATATCTGGCTGTCGTCGACTTGACGGATAGATAACCAAGTCGTAGTCGACGATAGGGTAGTCTATCTCCTCGAATTTGTACTCGGCGGGATCAGAGATGGCGCTAGATCCCTCTTGCCAGCTTCCGTAGGCACCGGATGGGGTATGGCTAGGCTAATCTTTGATGTCGATATCCGGCGACGTGTGTTGGCTTGTGGCTTTGTGGCTTTGTGGCTTTGTGGCCTATCCCCTCTCCTCCTAGGGGGTTTGTATTTATACCCATAGATAACCCCTTGTCCAAGTAAGTATAGGGAGATAAATATGGATATGATCTGAGTAGTCCTTGTCGTTTTCATGTAGAACTCTTCTTGTCCTTCCTTATCCCGAACTCCTTCTATATACGAGGTTTGTTTCCGTATAAGACATGGTATGTGGTGGGCCTTGCCGAGCTTAGTCGATTACTATTGGGTATGTGGTATCCATAACCCTGACAGTAGCCCCGACTTCAATGCAAATGAACGAGTTCATGTTCTCAACCGAAGACTTTGGAATAACTGTTGTCATGCTCGCTTGACCGTTCTCGGTGAGATCAGAGATAGTGCTAGATTCCTCTTATTGGCCTTTGTAGGCACTATATTGGTTTTGTCTAGGTTAATCTCTGATGTCGTCCGAGAAGATACGGAACATGCGACTAAGTCTCCCGTCGTGCTGTAATCGAGAATTTGGATTGAAGTCAAGAAATTCCATCTCGGCGAGTACACCTTTGCTTCATTCCATATTCCTTGTCGAACTCCAGTAGTCGTTCTCGGATAATCGAGAAGGTGCAAAGTCTGCGACAAAGCCTTGAAATCTGACTTGACTATTCTGATGTCTGACTTCCCTAATCAACATTCGTCGTACTCGCTTAATCGATCCCGCTGTAAGACCGTAGAGACATGGAGTCCTCAACAGCGTTGAATGGAATTATCTTGAAATCAATTCTCAAAACAAAATATTAAATAGAGATAGCCCTCAAGCGAACGCTCAAGGGTAACATGTTCTAATATGTATGGAAAAATTGAAAATCAATTGAATCTACGTGTAACAATAAAAGAGTATGCTGGCTAGAGTTGCCCTCAGCAAACGGAGTTTGGTACTCCTCCTAGCCCCTAGCCCTATCCTCGGGGAAGTCTGTTCTCGGAGGGGAAGGCCCAATGACACGTAACTTGCCTAGCTGAAAATGCAATTACCTAGCCCCCAGCCGTGAAGTTGGAAAAACCAATTTCCAATTACACGGCTTGGTTAATACGCATTATGGAGCACTCTTACATGACCAGGTTTTACATGGTCGTTTGGCTCTTTAGGATCTGACAAGAGCTTATCTGCTCTGGGTGTCCCCAGCCGAAATTCCCTTAGGTTTCTCGGAGGCTTGTCAGACTGGCGTAAAGGGACAATAATTTCGATGTCAAGAGTAGGTGTTATCGTGGTTAGGGATCTCTGGACAAATATTGCACATATAAACACTTACAGAAGATGACGTAGATGATGAGATAACCACCACACTAGGCAAAGCCCAGGCGTATAGTTGTACCCAATAAATCGCATAGGTAGTGGGAGAATCGCTACATCGTTGGCAGAAAACCAGTTGTAGTCATATCTCGACCACTACGACCTACTGGTTCAAGAACCAGGAGTAGGAGTCTCTCAACCGTTTGAAATTGAGGTGCGAGGACTACTACGCTACTGGTCGAGGACCAGTTATAGTCGTAACTCGACCTTTGGAAGTCGTGGTACGAGGACCGCTACGCTGCCGATCGAAGACCAGTCGTAGTCGTACATCGACCATCAGAAGTCGTGGTGCGAGGACCGCTACGTTGCCGATCGAAGACTAGTCGTAGTCGTACCTCGACCATAAGAAGTCATGGTGGGAGGACCGCAACGTTGCTGGTCAAAGACTAGTCGTAATCGTACCTTGACCACCAGAAGTCGTGGTGCGAGGACCTCTACATTGCCGGTCAAAGACTAGTCGTAGTCGTACCTCGACCATCAGAAGTCGTGGTTCGAGGACCGCTACGTTGCCGATTAAAGACTAGTCGTAGTCGTACCTCGACCATTTGAAGGGAATCAGAGTAATGTATGGACGACATTCCCGTGACTTGCGAGAACAACCTCCTGATGAAGACGAAGACAATGAGGAATTATCGTAGTCGGAGGTTCGGCTCCTGTACCTACTACCTCATCCTCGGACCCTCTAGAAGTCTGGGGATCTCGAGTTTCGTCGTCGTCGTGTGATGTAGTTAACCGTGTCCGTTGTCGTCCTGATGTCATTAGTCCTCGACATTGTCGTCCTAGTGACAACGGCGATCTAGTCAGTCTTGGTTGTCGTTATCACGACAATGCTGATTGTCCCGTTAGATGTCGAGAGCTTGCTAACCGATTAGTCGAGGACCAGGAGTAGGCGTATCTTGATCACCTGAATATGAATTTTTAGGTGGTGAGAGATCGCTACGATCTACTGGCCAAGGACCAGGCGAAGGCGTATCTCGATCACCTAAAGACGAATTTTCAGGTGGTGAGAAATCGCTACGATCTACTGGTCGAGAACCAGGTGTATGCATATCTCGATCACCTTAAGACGAGATTTTAGGTGGTGAGAGATCGCTACGATCTACTGGTCGAGAACCAGGTGTAAGCGTATCTCGGTCACCCGAAGACGAAGTTTTAGGTGGTGAGAGATTGCTACGATCTACTGGTCGAGAACCAGGTGTAGGCATATCTCGTTCACCCGAAGACGAATTTTTAGGTGGTGAGAGATCGCTACAATCTACTGGTCGAGGACCAGGTGTAGGCGTATCTCGATCACCTGGAGACAAATTTTCAGGTGGTGAGAGATCGCTACAATCTACCGGTCGAGAACCAAGTGTAGGCATATCTCGATCACCTGGAGTTTTAGGTGGTGAGAGATCGCTACGATCTACCGGTCGATAACCAGGTGTAGGCGTATCTCGATCACCTGGAGATGAATTTTTAGGTGGTGAGAGATCACTACGA